AATGTTTGTTTTTTTAAGGCAGGTTTATCTATTATTATTATTATACTATTTATTATTATGATTATTATTATTTATTTTAATTTTATTTTTGGAATAAGAGATTGATAAAATGTTTTTAAAATCAAAAAATTTTTAGAATTCCAGAAATTATTAAACTTCACCCGCAATGCCTGCATCAAGCCTGCATTTTTTACCATTTTTACGGAATTTATAAAAAGGTTTAACTTAATAAAATATAATGTAATAATATATATATATATAAATAATGTAAATGTAATAATATATAATGTAATATTATAATAACTGAATAACTGATAACATAACATGCAAATAAATAGAAATGAGTAACATTGCATTTTTATTTGTTTGCATTTAATGAGGAATCATCTGATCATGTAAGCAGGTAAGACAATAAAGAGATAAGATTTTTATATGATAAGAGCATAGTTTAAAATCGTTTAAAATAGAATATGGATTCTAATGTAATAATAATGAATAGGTTAGCATAATGTTTTTTAATATGAATAGTATAGTTTTTATTAGTAGCATATAATCAATTATATAATCAAATATAATAATTAAATATAGTTTAGTATAATTTTTGATATTTTGATTAATATGGTTAATGAAATCAGATATTTTCACGATATATTCTGTAAGATAGATATATTTACTGAAAGATATACTGTAGGTGGGAATTTAGTTTCACAGTTTTTTAAGTGGTCAATAATATTGCATACTAGTAGAAGCAATATCTAGCATTGGTAATGGTCAAATATTGACGGTAATGCTAATAGTAATAAAAATAATACGACCCAGTAAGTAAATTGCTTGCTTGTCAGTAAATAATGTATATCTAACGAAATCAAGATTTTATACAAGATTCTAAAAAATATTCGAAAGTTTTCTTCATCATCTTATCTTTATTCAATTTCGTAGTGTGAAATGATCATCTACTACTTGACTTTATTTATTTATGAATGAATGTGTAACAATGCCAGTATTTTATAAATTATAAATCAGATTATAATTTGTTATAGCTTATATTGTAAATTATATTTATAAATATTTATTGAACTGATACTGATAAGATGGTGAAGATGGAGAGATGAAGAGTGTTAAGATGTGATATTGTAGTTATTATAATTATTATAGTTATTATAGTGCTGATGTTAATATTTAAATAGAAATTCCTTGTGATTTTTTTTTTGGATCAAGTTGCTTCCTCTTTTAAAGTTACATGTGCGCCATATTTATTATTAATAAATAATATAAATCAAAATAGTTCTAATTGTAATTAGTATTGGTATTGTAATAATGTATTGCCAGTTATATATGTTATTTAAGTTATATATGAACTGATCTTTGTCAATATTTTCACATTTAAATCTTTGATAAAAAATGCGTAACAATCAAAAATTACATTTTAAGAAATATTTAACGCACATCCGGGCAATCAATTTCATTTATGACATCGATCCACTGTACATATATCGTATCTTTTTTATCTGTCAAAATCTTTTTTAAAAATGAATTGAAAAATAAAAAAAAATACATCGTTACTAAATTAAGAAAACCAGTAAAAGAATATTTTCTATTTTTAGTAAAAGTTAATCCTTTATTTCTCTCTCGGAGTTAAATACATCGTAAATCCATACTTCTTTCGTTAACTTTAATAAGTATAAATATGTAGCCATATACATATAAATCAATCAATCAAAAATGATAATAATAATAATATTATTATTAATTAATATAATACGCTAGAACATAATCAGCGAAAAAAGTTTATGAACTTATGTAAATCATAAGGATAAAACATTTATTATATTTAATTAATCACGACAGAAAGTGTGGGTCCGTATTGCAAGCGATGATAGCTCTTAGTTTTTCATTTATTTTTTTTGTTTTTTTATGCCGATTAATTTGTGTTTAAACCTATGTTTAAATTTATGTATGTTAAATTCAATTAATTATGCATTTGATTTGTGTTAAAAATTTTACATAATTTACATAATTTACATAATTTACATAATTTACATAATTTACATTGATTTATTGTTAAACTGGTTAAACTTAAGTTATGTAACCAATTCTGGGAATGCAGAATGAAATTTTTTTTAAAAAAATAAATTATAATTTAATAATAATACGTATATCAAAAGAAGAAACTTTGTTCAGCCATTGAAGATAATTATAATAAATAACATTTCACATTTACCAAATATTGTATTTTCGTGAACAAATAATATTTTCTGATATTCTTAACAACATCAACAACTATAATAATAATAATAATAATAATAATAATAATAATATAATAATAGTAATAATAATAATAGTAATAATAATAATAAACCGCCAAACAACAACGAAGATAACGACAATAACAACGATAATAAAGTTTTCTCTAACTAACTTTATCACGTTACAATGTTATAATAATAATTTCACACTTTCCATTAGTATTTCTTAATATATTTCCCCCTATTTCGTCATCGTCTCCATTTAATTTCATTCATTTAGTCATTAATTCGATATTATTGTAGATATAATAATAATGTATAATTGTGGTGTGGTAACACGTATGCACATATATATACTATCTACCTATCTATATCTATATCTATTTATATATATTAGATATACATATATATTGAATATTAAAATATATGATATATATTGTTTACAAACCAATATCTTATAATATTATAATATTATAAATAATAATATTACAACAACAGGAAATGGAATGAGGAAAGGAAATACTGCAGCCTCAAAATAATAAATAATTAAATTTGATAATGCGTTGATAATGCTTTGATTATATCTATATTAAATATTCAACATTACAAGTATTACAGTATTTTGTATTTATTATTATTATTATGTTACAAGTATTAAGTACTATATAAATAAATATATAAATAAAAATAAATAAAAATTAAATAAAATAAAATAAATATATGAATAAATATGGTTACTTATATCATCATATAAGTTTATATGGGGTAACAAAAGTTTCATGGGTCCTGTTTTAGAAGTTTTACAACAGTTCCACACTCTCCACAATTCTCCACAATTGTTTTTTATTTTTGTTATGTTTCAAATTTTAATATTTCTTTAATTTCTTAAGGAATTATAATAATATAATAATAATAATAAAGATGATGATGATGATGTATTTTTCAAAAATTAAAGTATTTTTTATTATTTGTTATAATAATATTTGATTCATATTTTTTTCCTGCATTTCCTTTTTTCTTATTTTATTGATAATTAGGATTAATAATCTGATTAAATATGATTAAATAATAATAGTAATAATTAGTAATAGTAATAATAGTAATAAATCCAGTTAATAATTTTTGATCTATTATTAGTAATTATAATAAAAATTTATTACTCATTTTAATCATTTTAACAAGAGAAAATGTTAATAAAAATTTTGTCAAGAGTCACAACTTACATTTATCATGTATTTATTTATACATTTATTATATATACATTTATTATATATATATTTATTATATATACATTTATTATATATACATTTATAATTTATAAAATTTATAACGCTATTGAATATAATTGAATGAAATAAAATGAATAAATTAAATAAATAAAAAATATGTTGTATCTCAAGAAAAATGCTTTATTTTACTTATTTAAATAAATATAATTATGTTTATCAGTTTGAAATAATAAAATGCCACTCAAAAAATTCATCGACTTTTTTTTTCCAATTTCATCAAATTTCTCTCAAAGTAAAAATTAAATTTATTATTTGTATTTTTTTTTTTACCTATCTATCTATCATCATCCCATTTTTATTATAATAATTATTATAATAAAAGGGTTTTTTTTTTATATAATCTTACTTTATCCCAACATATAAATTTTTTCTCTGCTGTACTTTACCTAATTAAAACTCTCATGATATATAAGTTCAATTTCAAATTTTTATATAAAACTGGTTTTCTTTAGTGTCGGTTCAACTTTTTTTTTTTTTTTTAAAAAAAAAAAGAGAAGTCGTATTTTATCTTTTTTAATGTTCTTAAAAGCTACTTTATAAAAAGAAAAAATTTAAAGGACGACAACGACTCTGAAAAACCTTTGAAAGAAACATATCGCAACTATCGTTAGTTTTTCTTTAATAAAAAAAAAAATTAAAAAAGGAAAAAACCTTCTATTATTATCATTATTATCACTACTCCCTTTTTTTTTCACAGGCGACTTCTTCTTCTAGTAAACTCGCTGTCATTTTAGTCCAGAAAATCTTTTTTTCATTTATATATAATAACCTGACATTTTGATACCATGGAGAACGGGCTTTCAAGTTTTTTGTATTTATAACTTATTCCTTATTTTTCCTATCGTACGAACGAAAATCATCTAAAATAACAAACTAAAACATCACCCAATAATAAAAAATAATATTAATAATATTAGTAATAATATTTTTATTTTATTATTATTATTAAAGATTATTTGTCCCCTTTGAAACGCAGCAAGTTTATTATATATAAGATCTTTTTCGTTGAACGAAACAAAAAAAAAAATATTTTAAATTCTTTAATACTTTTTTGTATTATTTCTCGATTTATTTTATTTTTTGATTTTTCATTTTTATTTTATTTATTTAATTACAATATCCATAATCTTCTAAAATATAATTTTTATAATATTTGTAATATTTTGTAATAATATACCAACCGACGACAACCAAAACAACAATAACAACAAAACAACAACAATAATAATAATAACCTTTCTTTTTTTTTTCAACTCTATTTACACACCACCAACAACTATTAATACGTTAATTATTTTTGCCTATCAAAAAATATATATGATATATATCATATATATCCCATAATACTTGTAATCCTTACATAATAATCAAATATATATATATACACACACACACATCGACGTTGTTAATAATCATATATATCTCTCTCGATATCTCTTCCATTAAATATCGATCACTCTCTTCCATGCCTTTATCACTCTCAGGAAATAGTTCCTACACTTTTCTAAAGAGTTCTTCGTTAACCACACCTTTGATAAGTAATAAAAATGAATTAAAGATTCTACCTGCAATTCCCATCACCTCCAACAACGCCACTAACACCATCACCGTCGACTCCGCCAACACTTCACATTCTATTGAAACTTCTTTTAAAGATAATTATAACTTAAATAATGAATTGATAATGAAACGTGAAAAAACAAGTTTTATTAGTCCCATTTTCCTTGAAAGGAGAGCTTGTTCTTTAGACGTTGATCGTAATCGTCGAAATAGTTCCAAGTTTATTAATAAAAAACCGGTATGGTTTAAAACAATCATTCTTCGACTTCAACAAACGTTTCTCAAATGGAATGAACAAGATGAACATAATAATAATAATAATAATAATAATAATAATAATAATAATAATAATAATGACAATGATGATGACAATAATGATAATAATAATCGATCAATTATAGTGAAAGATCATCATCAAACGAAGATTGATGATGATTTAATAATAAAATCTATTCATCGTTCTAATGATTCTAATGATTCTAATGATTCCAATGATGGTAATGAAAAAAATTTAATAAATGGAGAAATTAATTCAATTAATTCAATTAATTTAATTAATTCTGGTTTATTAAAAAGAAATGTTGATTTAATTGCGGTTAATTCATCAACAACAACGTCATCATCATCAACAACATCAACATCATCATCATCAAATTATGATGATATATATGATGATGAACAAATCAGAGAAACTTTATTAAAAAATTCTCAACATCGTAATCATAAAACTACTTCAATCTTTGAAGAATGTGCACAAACTCCTAGGCATAAAACTAAAGAAGCCGAAGTATTACGTCAAGTTGGGAGATTCACTATCGTTCGTGAAAGTGAAGATTTTAATACTACAATGTTTGATCAATGTCATTGTTTACAAAAACCTTGTAAATATTCTTTAACTGGTGGACCTCATCCTGTTTTACCATCAGAAGAAGAATTAATAATACCAATTCCATCATCATCATCATCATCATCATTATCATCATTATCATCATCATCTTATTATTATTATAATAATCATTACGAAATTAATAATTGCGCCACCCCAATATCGATACCTATTCGACATCAAAAAGTGAATAGAAAATTGAGTAATCAATCTTTTATATCTTCACAACCGTCTCAAAATTCATGGTCTTCAAATATATCCTCTCGATCTAAAAATAATAATAACAATAACAATAATCGTAGACGTTCATTTTACTCACAACCCTCTTCAATTTCTTCTTCTTCTAGACGTTCTTTACCATCATTGAACAACAAGTCCATTAATAGTAATTTTATCCACAATTCAAGCAATATTAACCTTATAAATAAATCACCTTCCACCACCACAAACAATAACAATAACAACTCATCTAGAGCGGCAGCTTCGGCAGCTTATACACCAACTTCATGTAGATCTGTCCTTCCTACATCCGCATCATCACCAAATTTAATGAACATTCACAATCGATCAAAATGTGAAAATTATTACAATAATTATTACAATAATAATAATTATAACTATAATAACCACTATCACAACAATAACAACAATAACAATAATAATAAGTCACGTCCTTTCTCAAATATTAATAATAAATCAAGTGCCATCACAAAACAGAGATCATCAATGATTAATATGCATCAAGAAGTTACTTCATATTCAAGAAGACATAATTCTACTCCCGTAATATCAAATCCTCACAACAACAATAACAATAATAATAATAATAATTCTTCATCATCATCACCATCACCATCACCATCATCAAAATTAGCTTTACATCATCACGAACCACATACTACAATAAGTTCACATACAGGTAGAAAATTTGAAGTTGAATGGTGTTCAAATTCTTCGCCGACAAGTAGTAGTTCAGGTTCAAGTAGTTCTTCTTCGGAAGCTGCTTCCTCACCTGCGTCCACTATAAGTAGTTTGGCTTCAAGTCCCGGAACAAATAATATTAATATTAATACATTATCATCACCTATTACACTAAGTCGTCATTGTAAACAAGGTCGAAAATTTGAAGTAACTGTTATTTCATCGGGAAAAGTTTAATTAATAAAAAAAAAAAGTAAGGGAACAGTTATAAGAGAGACAATGAGATTCCATTTATTTATATTGTGAATATTTTCTTTTCTTTTTATAATATAAGTTTTTGGGAGATACAAAAAAATTTTTTAAAAAAAAAAAATTTAAAAATTATAAAATAAAACCCCCAAATCAACACAATTTGTCTATATATTTTCATCATTTTTTAAATTTCAAGGTACATTAATTTTTTTTTTTAACAATAATAATATAGAGTTGTAACATTTTTACAAAATAGTCAGCTTCAATAATACATTATATAGTTACATATATATATATGTACGTACGTACGTATGTAACAATTGAATTCAAAAAAAAATCTTATTATATCTGAAAACACATCAATGTAAATATTTTAACTTTTTTTTTTTATAAAAAAAAACCACAATTTTTCATCTACAATAAATGAATATTCATACATTAAATGTATAAATTTCTTTTTTTTTTGTGCGTTTCAACATGTGATTTACTGAAATGAATTAATCAATTTGTTACATGCTCATTATTTTATTATTTCTATTATTATTAACCTTATTCTTGATTCGAACAATATTTTAACCAAATCCTTATTAAAAAACCGTGTGCAATAAACTGATTGAGAAAAAATCGTGCTCGTCTTTTTTTTTTAAAAAAAAATAGATTATAAAGTAGAATATGGAATAGTCTAGATTATTTGGCTTAATAATTTCATATTACTAATTTATATTATGACATAATTATAGATGTTTATCAATTTTGGATGTTACACTGGTAAATATTACACTTATCAGATATCAATTTATTTATATTATTATATTTATTAGTATTATAGTTATTAGTAGATCATTACTTTAAAATAGTTTCTTCTAGAAATACAGTCAACCCTCTATAAATGCATCCTCTATAAGTGCATCCTTTCTTAAATGTACCTTTTAATCCAATCCCCATGTTGGAGAATAATAACTAAGTGTATTTCTTTTATTTTATATAATACAATGATTTTTGACCCCTGCTTATATTAACATTTCCTTGATAAATGCACCTATGTGATTTTAAATTATGTGAAATAATAATCGAAATCAAAAAAAAATCCAATTAATTATTTTTAAAGAATATAAAAATAAAATAAAAAAACTTGTTATTCTGTCATTTTGCTATTTCACTATTGTGTAATTTGTCATTTTGTCGATTTGTGACCAAAGTATTATTCTTTATTTTATTTTTTTTGTTTCTGTTAAAAAATAAATAAATTAATTAATTATTTTTAAAAATATAAATAAATAAATAAAAAAAGAACCTACTCTTTTGTTATTTTGTCATTTCGTTATTTTTCCGTTTTTACCATTTCAACTATTTTACCAATTTGTAATTGTAAGAGTTTATATTTTTTTTTTTATGTGTTAAAATTTAAAATAATTAATTAATTAAATTATAATTTTAAAATATAAAAAAAATTTTAAATCTTTGAACCATCAAATAAGTTTAATAAAAAAAAATTACATTAATTGACACTCAAAAATATAAATTTTATTATTATGCTAACAATAATAAAAAAATCAGATCTAAATATGTAGAATGGGTAGAACAAAAATGAAAAGTAAGAATTGATAAAAGTACTATTACAAGAATTTTACAAACAAAAGAAAAACAACTTTCTAATGATCAAATTGATTTAATACAAAAATGACATAAATTAGTAACATTTCTTGAACTTGAATTGATACTTAAGGAGTTTGTTTTAAACTATCAACATAGAGTTATTCTTAGTGATTCTATTTTAATTGAAAGGTAAAATTATTAGCAACAGAATTAGGTGTTCCTGAAAATACTTTATTATTTTCTTCTAGTTTATTATATAGTTTTAAAAAATGTAATAAAATTTAACAATTAAAATTATAAGGTGAAGCAGTATCAACAAATAAAGTTTCTATTGAAGAGATACTTCCATTATTATAAAATAAATACACAGATTATTCTCCTAAACAAATTTATAATATAAATGAAACAGGTCTTTTTTATTAGTAAAATATAATTTTACTTTATTAAATTTTATTTAAATTTTATAAATTTATTAAT